TTTATACGTACATAAAGTAGAGTAGTTCAATTAAAGCAGAATGTTTTCTTTGAATAACTAAGTAAGGCTCATTTGCAAGGCACAGTATGCCTTTTTCGTTTTGTAATATCAGCCAATTTAAAAAAAAAGAATTTCAATAATTTCATAGAAAGTTCATTCATCCATCGTTTATCCCTGATCACCATTCACTACCAATAATAACTAATCAACTTTCAAAAGTACAAAAAATTCTACACTATATAATATTGTTTTAGTTATAACTTCATTTCCATAATCAACAGGCTTCTATTCTAGTTCTGGATATTACGTTACTTATACCCAGAAGTTCATAGAGATTGGGCCCCTGCAATAGAAGATAGCAGTGCAGTGAATATTCGATAAATGTTCAGAGCTCATGTCCACCGAAGACGAGTAAAAGTTAAGAATTTATATGTAAAAACTAACCAAAAAATAATTTTGTTCATACATGCCGCATCTTGGAAAAGTTTTCTTTTGGTGTAGTATAAGTCCAAAAGAACTGAACAATTTCTGTATTTAAAGTTCGTTCTATCTTGCAACGTTACAAAGTTATATTTAAAAAAACGCAAAAACATTCATGCGAAGTTTTATTAAAATCAGAATTTTCGGGTTCAGAACCTTCCCTTGTGAGCAGAGTCGAAGAAAAGGACAGCGAGTGAAATATAGAATGGTCGTGAGAGTCAAAGCAACCAAAAAAATTTCAAAAGCTACGAATTCGTGAAAACATACTAATGCAACAATGAACCTTTTTTTATTTGTGATTCTTTGTTTATAAAACTTTTCTTAGCAATAGTGATGAGTGTGTTTACATTGTCGTTCGACTGTTCCAATACGAAATATTGTATTGTTTTATATATTTTATATCAAAGTATCCACCATTAGGTGCCCTTAATCTAGAAGACTTTTTATCATGACAGGATTATTATTCATAAGACACATTGTTCACAAATATTTTTCATTACTAATTAGAAAATTACCGACTAAAGAATCATACTGACTGCAAGGATTTTTATTAATTGCATTAATTTCAACATTAATTATAACAGAACAATCTAATCAAGAGACAAAAAGATTTATGCCGTTTAATTTTTTTAATCATGTCAGCATAGTCAATGAGTTAATTACATAGTCTTACAACAGCAGATGATGAATAAAAATAACTTCATTACTAACGTTGTATAAATAAAATATTATATCAAAGGTAGGTTTTAATTAAATCACTACGAATACACACAGAAACGAGTAAGTAAAAGAAATAATACATTATTAAATAAGCTACATTTTTGCTTCCTTACAATGTTACAGAGTTTAATTTTTGTGAAATCTTCAAACTTGAACGAGTATTTACTTGCACAACACTGTTTGGTTTCACTTAACCAACCGAAACATTTCACGCAATATACAAAAAGCTTCAACATTTATATTCTTCTGGAACTATTAGGTTTTTTGTATTTAAAAGTATCATCAATCGTAAAAATAATAACGCTGTTCAACGCGTAAAATACCTCATAACTGTTCAATAGCGTTTCTGATTGATCTTTATGAGCTTCTCTGGATTCTCTCGAACAAAATGATGTGAATTGTTCTTATATTATAGACATGTAAGTATGTTTAAATAATGATCATGATCAAAGTGAAAAGGACACCGAAAACGCACCGGTTTTACTGATATTCTTTAATTTATTTTAAAATCTAAGGGTCCAGGAGAAAATCCAATTGTGTAATGCGATAGAGCAGACCTTTCTGCTAAGGACAGTGTCAAAGAAAATTATAAAATCTGTTTTATTTTCAATAGAGAAAAGAAATAGTTCAGCAAAACACGTGGCGGCCGCAGTGAGACTCAATGACGGTGGTCGGTTAGCCTGCCACTCACAATTAGCGTAACGGAAGCGCTAAGAGTGCAAAGGCAAAGCGACCGTCGACATTGAGTACCACTGCCTCTGCTGCCACGTGTTTTACTCAACTGTTTCGGGTCTCTATTGAAAACAAAACAATGTTTTGGCAACATATTTTGTAACTTTCCCTGACACTTTTCTCAGCAGAAAGGTCTGTGCTATAGCATGCTATGATTATATTTCCTCCTAGACTCTTAGTTTTTGAAATAAATAAAAGAATATCAGCAATAATTGGTGCATCTTCAGCATCCTTTTCATTTTGATTAATATTTAAACATATTTAGACGTCTACAGTCTGTCTCAGTTAACTTGATCACCTCGAATAATGACGTAACGGTACACTTCATTAAAATTTTGAGGCGTGGAACTGAAATGTCATCAAGTGGCACATCTTATAAGGTATGTGCTTTTTTGTGGGTGCAGGAATTTCAGAAATTCCAAGGTCACCTTGATTATTTTAACGGAATTACCTATTTTTTATACCACAGATCGATAGAGTATCAAATTTTGATTAAAATGTGTTGATTTTCATACGTCCCAAACCTAATAGTTAACGATATATTTACAAAATAATTTTTAATACATACTTACTTCTTGATGTATTTTTTTATATCTATCATTTTTAACAAAAAGTTGTACGAAGAGTACCACACGTTCACGAGGTCGGTCTCTTTTTGCATGAATGCGTTCGAATCGAATGGAAAAGTGGAACATATGTAGATCGCGCGGTTTCTGTTGAATCGACACCACGACTGTATTTAACGTGAAAATGAGTTTCTTCAGTATGGACTGGACTCTGAATCCTTGATTAATTAATATACGAGTCGATGAATCGTTTCTAACGATTATCGGCTGTTTAACGAGACTGTCGATGTGATTAATACTAGGACGATCGACCTCAGATGTTTTCAATTTTTATCCGCGTGTTTCATGATTTTACTTGCAAAGATATGGTTTTTGATTCTGCTCTCTCTCTCTCTCTCTCTTCCACTTTAACCTTGTACAAGGTCAACATTCTGAAATTCTAAAAGACTCTTTTTCTTTTACAAACTCGTCTTTGTTTACTTATATTTGTTTCAATATTTTTTCATAATAACAGAGCGATAATTGTTTTTCAGCATGCGTAATTTTATAACTGTGTAATGTTAAACATTTACGAAAAAGAAACTTCTAATGTTTCTTTTTTTTAAATTCTTGATTTTTAAATTCTATTTAATACTTTAATCCTTAATAAATCATTATTTTGAATATGTCTGGGCATAAAGGGATTAAAAAAAAATTATTTCCCTAAAATTAAAAAAATTATTGTGAATAAACTGTTTTATAAGTAATTTTGTTAAGAATGCAGAACTAATTTCATAATGGGACTTCAGAGAATTCCGTCGGTTTCACCTTGCCAATCATTACAATCCTGACACAGATCAGTTTTTTTATTATGTCGTCTCGATACACATCTTTTATATGAACCACATAAACTTGTTGTCTTGTTTAGTCCATTGTATTTTTTACGTTTACTGTGGCATTCCTTTACGCATCGGTGACTATTTTTGATCATTTTCTGACGTCTTTTAAATTTCTATGAAACACTGTTTACGATCTCGTATAAAAATACGTTTTTACACAATGGCTAATTTTTTCTGTTTAATAGCTAATTTGTAATTAATTACTTTAGTGGAAATTCTTAAAAGAGTAAGATCCCCCCCCCCCCCCCCCCCACCACCG